TTAATCCTAACCTGAGGACATTTTTTCTATTGCTTTTCAGAGAGAGTGGAAGGGGAAGAGAGAGCGAGAGAGGGAAACATCGATGTGAGAGAGACACATGGATTGGTTGCCTCCCACACTGAAGTACGTGCCCTTGGCCAGAATTGAACCCGGGACCCTTCAGTCCGCAGGCCAGTGCCCTAACCACTGAGCCAAGCCAGCCAGGGCTCGGCCCCGCTCTTCACGGCTGTCAGTCCGCTGGACGCTTTTCGGTCCTTCAGTGGGGGCCACGCAGTCTCATGAGCTTGGATCTGGGTGAGGGGCTGAGGAAGGGAAGAGGTTCGTGGCCAGGAGAGCCCGGGGAGGGGCCCGGAGCAGGACAGGTGTGTAGGGTGGCGAAGCGACGCGGCTGGGCCGAGAGGAGAGCCCTCGTGGGTGGTGGTGGTGGCCAGGCCGTTAGACCTTGGCATCCAGCAGGTGAGCGACGGGCGCAGGATTCCGGGTGGAGACTCGGTGAAGTCCAGTTGGGGCCGCCCTGGGTTCCGCTGCAGAATGTAAGGTGGCTTAGGGGACGGCTAAGAGAGCCTGTGACCCGGCCTCAGATGGGCTCCCCCAGGGGTCCGGGAGGGGAGGGTGCGTGGAAGCACCCTAGCAGGATCCTAGAGCTGGGCGCCCTGCAGGAGTGAGCGCGCCTGGCTCGTCGGAACGTCCAGCTTCCCGCGCAGAGTGGAGTGTGTCCCGTGCATGCGCTGAGGCCCCGCGGTGCACGCACAGTAACAGGCTGAGCTGGCCCGCGCCGTCGGGCGGCACTGCATGCGGCGTTGCTGGGCACCGTGGGAGTGAGACTGACAAGACTAACTTGTAACCGTGGTACCTGACGGAACTGTAATGGTTTTGTGGCGTTTCCTCACCACCTTCCGCTGTGCATGGTTTTCCTGTGGCGTCACCTACGGATCTCCCTGGGCCCAGCCGCCCGATTTAAGTGCCATGCGGCCGGTCCTTCGATCGGCAGAGAAGCGTCCGAGGGCAGCGAGCTCTGAACCGGAGCCGCGTTCCATGGACGCGCCAGAATTCCCTCTGGTCTTATTATGTCCTGAAAACGCTGGCCAGAAACCCCAAGTTATTTTTTCCCAAAGTCCAGGAGTTGCCCCATTTTGATACATTATTGGGTTCGACTTTTGTCCCCATAATTTATTAAAACATCGAAAGCATTTTACTATGAAAACATTTGCTCTAGAAAGTTTTCTCAGTTTCTCCCTCTACCGGGCCTTGCGCTCCTTTGCGCTCCATTCCTGGCCTGCCTTCGAGGGTTTTCCTTTCCGCGTGCGTCCTGGCACCGACTGCCGCTGACCTGCTTTTTGCCCAGAAGAATTGTCCAGTGTGAATGATACATAAGGATTCATTTTTACAGTGCAGTGTAACAAACCAGCTTAAATACTGAAGGATATCCTCTGAATTTTACATAGAAATTACTTAAACATTGAACTCAGTCAGCCGTTCCAGCGGATTTCTTGGTTGGTTGTAATTTGGGAGGGGACCGTTTTCCCTCCTGATTAAAGAAAATGTAAGCACTGAAATCTCTTGTGAAAAAATAATGGAATCCAGTTCTTTCCTGCTTTTTACAGCTTCTCCTACATCCCCGGTACTTGAGTAAGCAGGATGTCCAAGCAGACAGGGTGAGACGAGACGTTAGTGAGAAGTGGCAGTAACGGGGAGACGTCACCTTTCCGGGGAGAGCCTAGAGAGCAGGTGGGCTGTGGGCGCCCTCACCGCCGGCTCTGTTCTTCTCGTAGAGGAGGGCTACGTGAAGATGTTCCTCCGCGGACGCCCGGTCACCATGTACATGCCCAGGGACCAGGTGGAGTCCTACAACCTGGAAGCAAAGGTGGACCTGCCGACCAAGAGACTGAAGCTGGAGTGGGTGTATCCTCTGTCCGCTGCTCAGTGCTCTGGGCCTGGCGCTTAACTATAGAGACTCATAAAACTTAAGGCCTTAAGCTTCTAAAAAAAATATATCCTCTCGCTTAAAAAATTAATTTAACAAAATTGGCCACAAGTCAGCACCCCGTAGACTAGCAGAGTCGTTCCCTAAGAGCTACTGATTGTGGGGGACACCCACTTGTCATTCCTGCAGGAAATATTTGTGGTCCTCGCTCAAATACATATACATCACCTTCCTGAAAAGAGAATTTTAGAATGTCCTATGGTTGTATAAATGATTTTTTAAGTTGTAGGAAAATGCATCAGTAGTTTCTGGCCTGGATTTTAATTTTCTTTACAGAATAAATTTAGTTTAAAACGTACATAGAAAAGCAAATTTAGCAAAAATATAATCACAATGGGTGGAATTTAGGAATCTGATGGAAATGAAAGTGCTGGTTATTTTTAACAGTAGCTACTATGCACTCAGCTCTTCAGGGAGATTTACACTTTACAAGGAAATAGCAGTGAAATGCAAGCCAATACTGAACTCATGAATGAGTTGAAACTAAACTATGCTGGAAAAAAGTTTCCAAACCTAAAGAAGGAAAGAGCGACACTGCGGAAGGAAGGACTCGAGCCCCCCTCCAACCAAGCAGGGACTCGGCCGCGGGAGCCTGACTCCCGGGCCAACACGCCTCGCTGGGGGCTAATAGCAGTGGATACCCACATACTAAACGAAATCTCCATGTGGAATAGCTGTAATAACACCTTAAAAATATAAAAAGGCTC